CAGTGGTGCAGCTGCTCTGAATGTTTGTATTCCAGAAACAAAAAAGCCCTGGGAACAGTCTGACACACCTCCAGAAACCCACTTTCTTCTCCTCTCCTTTCACTGACATGATTGTTAATGGTACTAAAACTGTTCATCTCTGATCATTCTTTCAATAGTTTGCAGCTTTTTCACCGACAAGCCGCCTTTTTATCCCACAGCTGTACAACAATGGCATAAACCCACTAACAATCTAACAATGAAGGATGTACAATAAGAGGCCCAGACAACATGAAGAATTAGTTTGGCTCCATAGGATGTTTATGTATTAACAGCAAACCTTGTGGTTCCTGAGCAACCTGACATCTTTGTGTTAGCTGCTCTCACACGGTTTGTAAATCTTGAGTGATAAGCATTCTCCAAGATGACAAAAATACTTCACAGCAATAAATCTCAGTTAGTGTAATTTTACCTACAATCAGATTTTTCCGGTTTCCACAGATTTCCACAGATTGTAGATGCCTTTTGATTGTCTAAGTCAAATATGTTTGACCATTCCTATGTCAGACAACATGTTCAAAATGTTCCATGTATTCACGTGTTTACAATGACTTTCTAAATTGGAAAACAAACTTAAATCAAAAATACTACAGGGCAACAACAAACTTTCAGCTGGTAGCATATCAGCTGATCAGACTGGCTTCCAGGAATTAGAGTACTTAGAATTCCTTTTTCTAAGTCTTTTCTGTATTACTTTGGTATTCTCTCTCTCCCTCCCTCTCTCTCTCTTTGACAAATTGAGTCGGCTCTTATTCAAAATGCTCCCACAGCTGACAACCAGCCCCCCCACTCCTCCTCCCTCCACTGACAATCAGGCCTCATCTCCCACTCCCACACATTGTGCTGCTACAGCCCTTATAAACGATCTGTATACACACACAAGGGGGGGGGGTCACCAGCGTCAGCTATATAACCGCCGTCCCCCATTGTTGTTGAATTAAGCCAGCCACCCCCTTCTCTACAGCCATCTACATCATGGGCTGCTGTCTTACCCGCTCCTTCCTCCTCGAGCAGACTTGGGCATTTTACGGCCTGCGGGCTACATCCAGCCCTTTGGACATCCCTGTCCGGCCTGCGTGAGGTCCATCAAATCAGAACATGAATGAAAAACGTTCACGGGTGAACTTAAGATCCCCGACCTACCGGGTGAGAGACAGGTGATGTTGGCCAGCTAACCCTCAAAATGTCAACTCGTGCCAAAAAAAGACAAGTTGATGCCAAATACTGCGTTTTCAACAAGACATGGACTGGAAAGTATTTGTTTACAGAAGTCAAAGGTAAAGCGGTGCGCTTAGTTTGTAGTACAAAGGTTGCTGTGTTCAAGGATTACAGTTTGAATCGGCACTACGTGACCAAACATGAGGAGAAATACAAGAACTTGTCAGATGAAGAGCGCACAAGAGAGTCGGATGCTTTGCTAGTGACATAGTGACACTGCGTAACCAACAAAGACTTTTTACCAAACTTTCCACACCCAGAGATGCAGCTTTCAAGGCAAGTTATGTCATATCCCACAAAATCGCCAGAAAAAATAAGCTGTTTTCTGACGGAGAGTTTATTAAAGAGTGTTTGTTGGACTCTGCAGCACTAATATGCCTGGAGAAAAAGGGCACATATGAGAACGTGGCCCTCTCCCGACGCACTGTAGCGAGGAGGGTTGAGGACATCGCAGGAAATCTTTGGATCTACCTACTTATGTGAACAGACATTCTCAGTGATGAAGTTCAACAAATCCAGATTTCAATGAACTTGTTCAAGCCCAAGCCAGACTGGATTTCTCTCACTGAAAATGTATATCTTGACCATACTGCAAAACACCTTTTCAGTGTTATGTGAAGTTGAAAATAAAATAGAACTGTGATCTAATATTTGTTTTTACTGTTTATTACTTCTATAGGAGTATTTTCCTGTTTGACCTACACCACAATTTCATATATTTATATAAATATTTACAGAATATGCTTATTCTTCTGATTACCAGTAGCGGCTAATCAACACATATAATTGACTGCTTTTCACAATGGGAGATGATGAATATTGAGCAGAATTAAGTTCAAGTTATCGCTGGTTCGGCCTTCCAACACAGTTCAAGTTTGTCATGTGGACCCTTGTAAAAATCAATTACCCACCCCTGTCCTCCAGTCATGCTGCTGCTGCTACTGCTGATGTTACAACAGCACCCTCACCATGTAGGGCTGCTGCTGCTGAGATTCGCTCCCGCTCCCCATCACCCTTTCCACCCTCTATTCTACCATCTCCATCCAGAGCTGCTGTCACACCTTCCCTGAGTCACACTGCTGTGTCACAAAATAACAAACCACAAATTATCAATAGAGCAAGATGAACCCAAAATCCACCCCCCTGGCTACGCCCTTGATTGGGTACTCATTTTGAACCTAATTCTTATTTTAAGAAAACTTGCTGATCGCATTACTGTTTACCGATTAATATATTATCTTAAAAGTTCTGTTATAATCCAGCAAGTAAATAATTTTGGTGCAAAGTAGGTTTCTCACAGTATGATTATTTATTATGATTCCCCTGTCTTAATGACTTCCCCCCAGTTTCACCTCATTCTTGGAGCCTATCCCAGCTGACTTTAGGTGAGAGGCTGGGTGCACCCTGGACGGGTTGCCAGTCTAGACACACACACACACACACACTCACACACACTCACACTCACCCCTAGGGGCAATTTAGAGTCACCAGTCAACCTAAACTGCATGTCTTTGGACTGTGGGAGGAAACCGGAGCACCCGGAGAAAACCCACGCAGGCACAGGGAGAACATACAAACTCCGCACACAAAGACCCCGGGTCAGCTGGGGCTGTGAGGCAACAGTGCTAACCACTGCACCACTGTGCTGCCCTGATTAATTTGTTTTCCCTACTAAATTACATGACATCTGTCACTATATGTCTGACAGCCCCGTGATGTAATTTAGTAAAACATCTGGCCTAATTGATTCATTTGTTTAGAAAGTTTTAACAGCAGACATTTGACTTGTCAGATGATTCCAATTTAAATATCTGCTGTGAAAGAGGCTTGGTTTACTTCTTCCACCTCTGTGGTTTCCTCAACCCTAGAGAGTGGCGGAATCTTTTCCAGCGTGACTTCTCTTTTATTGTCTCTGTGATGACCTCAGCATCCTCTGTGAGTTCTTGATCATGGAGGGCACTAGGGCCCTCCTGGTCTTTGCATGGGTCATCCTCCAGCTGTTCCTTAGAGTAACTATCAGGCTGTTCACATGTGGAGAGTCCCTCAGCACTGGGCTCAGAGGAGAGCTTGAGTATGAATGATGTCTGAAACTTGAGCTGTCTTGTCAGCTCCTTCAGCTCTCTCTGGTAGAACATGGCCTTATGATCAGCTTCTGTCTGCATTCTAACGATCTTTTCTGTGATCTCTTGGTGAAGGCTGTCTTTCTCCATCCTCAAGGTGTTGATCAGCTTGAGATCTTGCTCCGCCCTTTCTGCATGAGCGAGCTTTACAGTCTCTAGCTCACGCTGAAGGGTGTCTTTCTCCATCCTCAAGGTGTTGATCAGCTTGAGATCTTGCTCCGCCCTTTCTGCATGAGCGAGCTTTGCAGTCTCTAGCTCACGCTGAAGGGTGTCTTTCTCCATCCTCAAGGTGTTGATCAGCTTGAGATCTTGCTCCGCCCTTTCTGTATGAGCAAGTTTTTCATTCTCTAGTTCAGCCTGTAGAGTGTTGATCCGCCATAGACCTTGCTCTTTGCTTGTTATATGAGCTTGCTTTTCGCACTGTACCTCACCCTGAAGGGCGTCTTTCTCCGCCTTCAGGGTGTCGATCAAGTTTCGACTTTGCTTTGTCCTTTCTACTTGAGCAAGCTGTTCGTACTGTAGCTCACGCTTAAGGGTGTTTTTCTCAGCCTTCATAGTGTCGAGCAGTTTTTGACTTTGCTCTTCCCTTTCTGCATGAGCAAGCTTTTCACTCTCTAGCTCATGATGAAGGGCGTCTTTCTCTGCCTTCAGGGTGTTAATCGTTTTCTCAGTCTCATGCTCACGCTGAAGGCTTTCGATCTGCTGCTTGAGTGTGAGGTTTTCAATTTTTAGGCTGAGCACATGGTGTGAAGCTCTGAGCTTCTCCATTTCTACTTGGAGAGCCTTGTTCTTGTCCTTCTCCACATTGAGCTCGCCCATAAGCCTCTCCTGGCTTATCACATGTGCCACTTTCAGCTCCTTGTAATTTCTCTGAAGATCTTTTTTCTTCTTCCTTTTGATATCATTGCCCACCTGAGTGGCGATGTTTGAAGCACTGAGAGCTTCTGCATTACTGTACTGCCTCAGCCTCTCAAGCTCCTTTCTAGTTTCTTTTTCCTTGTTGATAAAGGATTCAGTCTTGGCTTTCTGGTAAGCCAGCTGTTGCTTTGTCTCATTCAGCTCCTGGCTAAATTGGATCCTCCAGTATTGTTCATAATGAAAGTTAACTCTGCCTATCCTTAACATCCCATGAAGCCTCCTTATTTCTTCTTGAAGTGCTTTGCCGTTTTTAGGTCTGCCGGTTGAACATGCCATTTTTTTTAAGTGGTAGAATCAGTTTGTTCCCAAACACTGTAGTATTTCTCTGAACAGATGTCGTCTGTATTATTTGTCGTCTTTATTTGTTATCGTTGAAGTTCTTTCCTCACACTGGTGTGTCAGTTATAGAAGGTCTGAAGTTGTGTAGACTACCTGGTTAGATGTAGTTGCTGATAGAGACTTGATGACGTCACAGATCAGGCCATGCCTTTGTTGTTGTCGTTCTATTTTCTGCATGTTTACATTCAAAATCACAATCTGTCAGTCAAATGTACTGTACGCTAGGCCACCTTAGTAACATTCAAAACAATTTTAAAACCTGCTATTAATCTATTCTATACAGCGTAATCCCGGATTTCATATCTAATTAATCAATTACAATGTACACAGATGTTCCATTACATTACCACCAAATGTAAGTACATTATACTCATTTGTGGTATAATATACTTGCATCTGATAGTAATACAATGTGTGAACTTTAAGTTAAATCGCTTAAAAATATATTTAGTCATGACCACACCTCTTTTTCCCCATAGAGACAGAAGGTGATGCTCGGTGTTTGGCTGTTTTTGAGGCAATGCATAATGGGAACTTGAACGTGGGATAATTGTTATTTCACTGGTTGGGTGCTGCGGAGTCCGACCAAACATACATTTTTCAACTGTTCATCATTTTGTTGTCTTCTCTCATTCGAGAGGCTGTTTGTGAGATGTGGAAACATCAGTTCGACGGGACGTTTTTCGCCTGATAGGTACCTTTAACTACTTTCTCACTCACGTGAACCAGGCCTGCTCAACGGGCGCTGTCTGCAGACACGATCCCGCATTGAGCCGCTTGCCAAGAAATGGACGAGGAGGAAATCTGGTGAGTGTTGTTGGTGAGAAATAGGAATCAGTTGCTTTTTTTATTGTTGTTTTTTTCCCCTGGATGGGGCTGTGTGTGAGCACTGTAAAATTTGTTTTAATGATGACCACTTTGATGGACATTTTTCACCTGTTAAGCTAGCTACATTAGCTATCTTATCACTTAGCTCTTAGCTAGCTAACTGTTAGCTAGCTTATCACTACGTGGGCAATTTTTGAATAGTAAAAAACGTTTTAACTAGTTTGACAATACGTTTTTCACCTTTTACTGTTAAAATGTTGGCGAAATGGCAAATTGTATGCATATTACAAAGCCATGACATTCTAATATTAAATGCCCAGGTGGCTTATTACATTACTTAGCTAATCAGAAAGGAACATTAGCTAAACCCTTCTACGGCCTTAACACCCAGTTTATGGTGGTATACATGGTTTATTTTGTTTTATTTCAGGTTTGTAACGAGTTCTACGGGGTGGTGGGAAAAATCTCAGGGAGGACTTCTATGGACTGTGGGTCAGTGGGTAGAGCAGTTGTCTCCCAACCAGATGGTTAGAGGTTCGAATCTCGGTGCCTGCAGTTCATGTGGCGAAGTGTCCTTGGGCAGGACACTGAATCCCCAAGTTCCCCCCGATGGTTAGAGCCATCGGTTGAGTTGGTGCCACAGATGGCTGTCTCGGTTCTGTACTGGAAACACAAATTTTATTTTATATAGCACTTTAAAAACATCTTATGTGTAATATACTTGGCCAAATAAAGGTGATTATTATTATTATTATTGATGCACTACACCATTTCTCTCCAAGCCTGATGTCTGTTTGGCAAAAAGAGAGTTCTCACCAGCCAGCTTTTGGCAGGGCCTCTGGGTCAGACAAAGGTGGGTTGACTTGTCTACATCAGTCTACTCCCTCTCTTTCCTCAATTTTTGTTCCTCTCCTTTCCCTGTGCATTTACTCGCTCTCCTTTCTTATCGCTTCTTTTCTCTCATTTGCTCTTTTCTATCCTCTCCCCTTGCCTCATTTCCTGTCTCCTTTTCTCCTCGTCCTATCTGCTTCGTGCTCTATTCTATCATCTCTCCTCTATTATACTTTACCCTTCTGTCCTCTCCCTTTCTTGTCATATCATTTCCTCTTGTCGTCTCCTGTGCTTTGCAATAAAGTCATAAAATATATGGGGAAATTCTGGAATGTATTCAATAATACATGTCAATATCCTTAGAATTATGCCCACTATCTTCCAGACAACTGAGCCAACAGACATCAGGTGCCTTTGTCTTCAGGGACTGCTAGTCATTTTGAGGGATGATCCTTCTGCCTTCTTAAGAAACTTCATTTGTTGTAAATGATGCATACGTAGTTATTAACCCTTTTTTCAAATTTAGGCCATTAATGAGGACTGCCTGCTGCTAATTTTCAGAATCATTTAAACAGTATCTGGTGTTTCCCAGACTTCTATTTTATGGCCTAACAAATTTTAACTAAAAATCATTTTGAATATCTGCATTATTGAATTATGATGGAACAGAAACTGAAAAGATTTGGCCACAAATGTATGAATGGCCTCAAATTAACATTAGAGATAACCTTGGAATCTCACTTATTCATTTTAATTTTGTTGAGGAGAGAAGAGAGTACAGCGTGGAAGAGAGGGGTTTTGCAAACAGTACATGTAATGTACAGATCTAATTATGGCAGTTGATGAAAAGTCAATTTAAGACCAGTATTATCTTTTTGTAATAATTACTGTCAGTGCAGTTTATACGATGCCTTTCATTCTAAATAGTCAGATACTTTTTGGTGGATAACAGCATTATCTAACAGGCATCATTATGTTCTCTCATTGCCAGTCAATTTTTTTTTTTCCTTCTGATAGGATGTAAGTGAAAGTCCAGTGGGAATTCTCTGTGTTGATCAAGAAAATCCTCAGCTCAACCCATCCAGAGTGGGCGTCATCTTGGAAGAGAATGTGGTGATGGATGAACTGGCCAATCTGCCTCAGGCCTTCTGTGTCCTTTTTGGGCTGTTGTATGCTCTGCACCTGGAGTACCCCAAGTGCATGAAAAACACTTTCAGCTTTATTCAGCAGGTAATGCTCAACTAAGTTTCCACACACTGATGGATCAGCACACCAAAGAGTTCAGTGTACCCTGTCAGACCGGAGATTTGATGAGACACTGAGATCTGTGTACCAATGTTCACATGCTGAAGCACCAATAAGTGCATTTCTTAAAATAGCAAAAAGGCATGATGTTGCTATACTTTCATGTTTTATGTGAAATATGTTCTTGAATTTCTTGTTCTAACTTGAAATAAAACATAAAAAGAATAGTTTTGTATTTTATTTACATATTTTAAATGTTTTAGTTTAATGATTTAAAATTAAATAGAAATAAAATTTTACTGTAGCTTTAAGATATTAAGTGGAATGACTGGGTAAAGCACTTGATATTACAAATGATTTTAAGTTGAATCAACTTGGAATTTAATGCAATGAACTTAAGTTTCCAAGTGGAATAACAAGGCAAAGAAGTTGATGTTGGAAGTTGATAAAGGATTTTAAGTTGAATGAACTTGGCAAATCAAATTAAGTTAAATTCACTCAAGTTTTCATTTAACATTATTTAATTATTTTTAAGGCAACCGGTTTCCTCTAATTTTTTAAGTAAATTCAATTTATCCGGGCTTAC